GCAACAGAGGCTTTCCCCTGATGGGGGGTCGCGCAGGGTGCGCGCGTGGCCGAAGAAGGAGGAGGGGAAACAAAAACACACACAGACACAATGAATCGTCGATCCCCCAGAAAGCATGGGAAAATAGGGGAGGCGGGCGGGACGACGAAAGCCCAGAACATGTGGGAAGATATGGGGAATCTTTTTATTTGTGCGTATTTATTTTGTTTGTGTGTCCTGGGGCCCCTTCAGAAGAGGGAGGAGGAGGGTGGCAGGAGGCGACGAAGAGGTGCGGATGTTGGACAGCGAGGAGGCAGGACGGTTGAGCGCACGAGGGACGAGACGAGAAGAGGGAGGCGAGAAGGTTGCCCTCGCGTCATATCCGGAGTCCTGCCTCGCCATCCCAGCCCTTGCACTGTGTCGAATTCTCGTCCGTTCGCCCTCTGGGGTGTGTCCTGGAGGACGCCGATCCCCGAGGGGCTCTGGAGGAGTTGGCGGAGGAGCAGGAGGAGGGGAACGAGGAAGAGGAAGAGGAGGGTGAGGAAGGAGGAGCAGGGGGAGCAGGATGATCAGGGGAAGGCGGAGGAGGTGAGAGGAGGCAGGACGATGAGATGAGGATGATTGGGATCGGATTCAACAGTGCGGGTCCACCTGGAGCGATGCCGTCACACGACCGGAGAGCAGAGGATCCATCTTGACGCCTGGCCAACGCTGCGGCGGGACCACGCCTTGATCGATGGGCCTGATACGTTCCGATGGGAACAAGAACACATGATGTCACTTACAGTGGGGGCGCGCATCAAGAAGCCATATACTTCTTCTTGTCAGGGTGCCCTGGGTTTCTTCGCGCGCGCTGCGCGGTGACTTACCGCGGCCGTCTAAGGATCTGTTGCGTTGAGGGTTCCACGTGCTCTCTCTCAGTTGCACCTCGCGCGCGGGTTCATGGTTGGGTTTGTTGCGAGGGTCTCTCGTACTGTAGGCAGAAGGATTTCGTGTGAGAAGCGGCGCTACGGCTGTATACAGTCAGGGAAGAAGGGATAGTAGCATTCATGATGAATCGGTGTAGCGAGCAGAGTGCGTGAGGATGGAGGTGATGAATCAATAGAACATCTCGGGACGGGAGGAGTAGGAGGATGTGATATGGCCCATGGAGGTCAGACCGTCTGTGTCCTGCAGAAGGGAAGGGAGCCAGGAAGCTACAGGGCAGGGAGGAGCGTGTCAGGAGGGGGGAGGTGTGAGGAGGAGAAGTAAAAGGATCGGGAATTAAGAATGGGAAGGGGATGAGGAAGAGGAGGAGGAGGAGGAGGAGGAGGAGGGGTAGGAGGAGGAGGAGCAGCAACAGAAGCAGGAACAGGAGCAGGAGCAGGAGGAGGCGAAGGAGAAGGAGCTTGCAGAAGGGAGAAAGAGTGAGGGAGGGGCAAGCGAAGATCGAGGCGAGAGGGGGGGAGGGAGGAGCATGGCGGAGGGAGGATGCAGGATGGATGCGGGGAGGAAGCATGATGGGGGATGGTGGATTGGAGGCGACAAGCGGGGGGTCAACAGGCCTGTTGACAAACAATGGCTGTATTGTTCATCTCTTAGAAGCCCCCTTGTGGCCCAGAGAAGGTACGATTTCGGCATGGATTGGCTGGGCGGCAAGTGTGGATGCCTTAGGCTGCCGCCCGCCTTGATCGGGAAGGTGCCAAAGGAGGGCAACGGCGGAAATTGTGGGCATGTTGGCTTGCAGAGCGGCAGCCAATCGACGATGGCGATGATGATGCTGATGATGACGATGATGGTTATGATGATGATGATGATTATGATGGTGGTGGTGGTGGTGGTGATGATGATGGTGATGGTGATAGTGATGATGATGGTTGTTGTGGTGATGATGATGATCATGCTGATGAGTATGATGATGCTGCTGATGATGTTGATGATGATGTTGATGATGATGGTGGTGATGATGATTCTGACGCTGATGAGGATGCGTGCAGTGATGATGATGATTATGGCACCTATGATGATGGTGATGACAATGATGATTATGACGATGTTAATGATTGTGATGGTGATGGGGATAGCGACGGTGATGATGCTGCTGATTTTGATGAAGGTGATGATACACGGGACGGTGATGGTTATGTTGATGGTGTGGATGATGTTGGTGGTGATGATGATGTTGATGCTGATGCTGACGCCGGCGATGAGGGTGATTGTGATGGTTGGAATAATGAAGATGCTGATTCTAATGATGATGTCGGTCATGATGATGGTGATGTTGCTACTGCTGCTGATTCTGACGATGACGACGACTACGATGATGTTGTTGCTGCTGCAGGTGATGATGAGGATGCAGATGCTGTTGATGCTGATGCTTATGATGTTTCAGATGATGATGCTGCTGATGATGACAATGTCGATGCTGCTGATGATGATGTTGATGCTGATGATGATGATGATGATGCTGATGATGATGATGATGATGATGATGATGATGATGATGATGATGATGATGATGACGGCGACGACGACTGCGATGACGACGCCGATGACGATGACGATATGACGGCGATGATGCTGGGCCTGATGATAATGACGGTGACGCTGATGATGACCTAATGATGGGGTATTGATGATTCTGAAGACGATGTTGCTGCTGATGATGATGATACTGATGATGCTGATGAAGATGATGCTGCTGCTGATGATGATGATGATGATGACGACGATATGCTGAAGAGGAGTGAGCTAGGATGATGATGATGCTGATGATGATGATGATGATGATGATGATGATGATGATGATGATGATGAGGATGAGGATGAGGATGAGGATGAGGATGAGGATGAGGAGGATGAGGAGAGGAGGAGGAGGAGGAGGAGGAGGAGGAGGAGGAGGGGCGCGAAGTAGTAGGATGGGCTTTGGAGGGGAGGAGACGTGAGCCACTAGCATGGCTAGCTCTTGTCTTAGGGCCATTTTGAGGCCTCAAACCCCCATCGTCCACGAAGAGGCTGAAGCGCAACAGCACGGGCTTCCTACAGAGTTCGGAGCTATTTTGGCTTCCTGGGGAGGTCTTTGGAGGACTCGAAGGGCACTTGGAACAGTCATGGGGCTGTCTTGGGGGCCTCTTGGACGTATGCGGGAAACTGTATGGAGCCATTTTGGAGTATCTCGGACCATCTTGGAGGCCAGTTCGGGCATTCTGAGGCCTTCTAAGAGCCATCTTGGGGGCCATCGCAGGCGCTCCAATGGGTCGCCCCCCCCCCCCCGCTCTCTCAGGACCAGCGGGTGGGGTAGGGAGATGAGTATACGCCTCCCCCGAGCAGGTAAATGACCGATTCTGCCAGGGAGAAGACGGAACGCGTTAAAAACGACCTACGCCCAGAGGGCTGGTGGGATTCAGGGAAGTGTCTTGGGGGAAGCCGTCCGCGCGTTTTTTTAGCGGGCATTGTGTGGCCAATGGTTCGAAGAAGAGGAAGAAACGCATGTGTTTGCGAGGAACTGGAGGCATCATCGTAATGCTGTGTGGGAGCAATTTCTATTCGTTGCGCGGGTACCTGGTTTGATGGGCGGCGGCCAGGAACTATATATGCATGTGCGCGCTGCTCATTCCCCAACGTTCTGGTGCTGGCTTCTCGTTTTGAAAACAGCACTGTTCCGGGGGCGGAAAAGAGAGGGGTGATGACTAGGGGGGGGGGTGGATATCATGGCGAGGGCCATAATATTTCCCCAGATTTTATGGTGCCTCTTCTTATTTCATGACGTCCCTGGCCCCCCCGCTGGGACGCGCACATGCCGCCGGTCATGATTTGCACGCACCCCCCCTCTTAGACACCCCCCTCTTGGCCGCTCCCGAACTGTGTTATCCCTTCCCTCTCCGTCTCCTCCCCCACTGGGATGGTCAGGGGCCTTGTTAAGTGGATGGTGGAGATGTAGGTTGTTCGATGTTCGGTACAGGTTGGTTACATGTCTGGTATAACAACGTATATGTTGATGCATGTTGGCTAACCAAAAGCGACTCGCCCTAACCACTTCCTCCACTTGGACCAGTTGACCGCAGCATGTGAAACAACATAGGGTGCATATTATCTTGCATACGCTATCAACCGCATCCAGGATACCTCGTGTAGCTAAGCATTTGGCAAGTGTTTCGAACCATTTTCGGTCCTGGAAATAAGTGGGTTCGCTAACCTACTTAGGCGGGGTTCGCTAACCTACTTAGGCGGGGTTCGCTAACCTGTTTACAAGTAGCGCCAGGATCAAGTACACCCCCCCCCCCCCCACACACACGTGAGGCGGTTGATGAGAAGGAGGAGGAGGCGGAGGAAGAAGAGGAGGCGGGAGGAGAAGGAGGAGGTGGAGGAGGAGGATGCGTGCTGCGCGATCGTAACGCAAGGCGTGCGTGCTATGCCATGCTGTGCTATGCTATTCGCGCTGGCAGGGGAGCAGACGCGACGGCCAAGTAGGAAACCGCCAAGCCAGAACAAAATAAACGATATTTTCCGTAGCCGTTTTGGCTTTGTTGCAGGGCAGGTTTGTATATACCTCGCGTTCGCTTGCACTCGTGAGCGATCTGTGTTGCAGCGGCTTTCATGCAATGTCTTGTCCCGCCGCCACGATAGATGATATTGTCAAGCAGATTGCACCGAAGATCAATGCCACAATCGGAAGGTTCGAGGATCTAGAGAATGGCCCGACGTCGGCGATCAAAACAACTTCCGACAACATTATCAACGAGCTGATGTCGTGTAACTTGGCCTACAAGTTAAGGATCCCCAATGACCAGCTTGGGGTTCACCCCCAGAACCGCTTCACCATGGGAGTCGAAGCATTCGATGTCCACGAACTCCTCATGGACATCCTACGCCAGGGGTTCAGCTGGCTCGAAGTGGTCGGGGCTCGGTGCTTCGAGGCCGCCCCTGCGGGTACGAAAGAGCACGATGAGCAGGTGAAGTTCCAGACGCGGCTCGTCGATGCGAGCGACGGTCTTCTTGCAGCGGCGGACCCTTCCGACCTCCGTTTTTTGACGGTGACGTGCAGCCACACTCTCCAGGGACTTCGCTGCGTCAAGCACGGCACTGCGACCACTCAGGACGAGATAGAGGTCAACGGCAGGATCTCCATCGAGAAGGTCGCGTCCTTGAGCGCCGAGTACAAGACGGCCATGGAGCAGGGATTGGAGTGGGTCGTCGTACGACACCAGGTCGACCAGCATTGCCCAGGCCTGGCAGGATTCCTCCAGGCCGCGGGGAACGCAGGCCACGGGACCCAACGCCAGCAAACTAAAATGCAAACGCTGCTTCAGATTCATCAGAAGGCCACTCGCAAGTTGAAGCAGCCGTCCGCAGATCCTGAGGCAATTTGGACCGCCATCACCTCGGACATCGAGCGGGTGCGCCCTTTCCTGAAAGGGCAAGTGGCTGACATGTGCATGTTTGTTCGGCACTACTCGGGAGGCGAGGACGGAAAGTTTCTCAAAGACTTGGACGCTTACTCGAAGTCGTTGACCCTCCGACGCGACGTGCCTGGGATGCTCTTCAAGGCTCTCTCCCAGGTCAAGCTCGCGCAGGGGCCTGAATACCTGATGTCTTGCATCATGGCGTCTTTGGTGGCGCCAGATGGCTACGTGCAGCAGGGCGTGGCGCGGCTCCTTCATTCGGCTGACGCTGCGACCATCGACAAGAAGAACAAGTCTGCGTGCTTGGAGGCAGTTGACTTTATCAGGTCGGCCAAGGCCCACCTCGCCAAGGTATGCCTGCCCGCCGCGGCAAAGACGCGGCTGCTCGGGGAGATGCAGGTGCGTTTTGTCATGCACATCCACCAGAAGAAGAGCCGCGGCAGGCGTGAGTTCGGGTCCTTGCTGGAGATCGCGGACGCCTTCCTCGAGGACGTTGGCAAGGCCGCCCCCGATGCCCTTCAGCTTCAACGGCCTTGGGCCGCGTCGGAGGATAAGTCAGAGCCCCCCTCGCAGCCTGCGCAGGGATCCGGCAGCGGCCTCGTGGAGTTCACCGAGACGGGGGTTGGAGAGGAGGCGATGGCGGCGGGCGGTTTCGTGGTCGGAGCCATGGTCTTCAACGTGGGCGCCGCGGAGACGGTTTACAAGATCTCGAAGATCAAGGACGGCATGTGCTTCCTGCAGCTGGTGCAGGGCAAGGGCGCGATCAAGGTGCAGTCGAGCGTCCTGCTGGACGATTACAGGGCGACCGAATCGATCGCTTGTCCGATCCATAGCATTAGAGAGAAGGCGGGAGGAGTTGTTTGATCCGCGGCTTGAGACTTGAGGAGGAGGCAGGAGGAGGATGGGAGGAGGAAGGAGGAGGAGGAGGAGGACGAGGAGGAGGAGAGGGATGAGGAAGAGGAGGAGGAGGAGGAGAGGGATGAGGAGGAGGTGGAGAAGGAGGAGGATGCGGGGGAGGAGGATGAGGAGGCAGAGGATGATGATGGTGATGATGATGAGGAGGAGTAGGGAGAGGAGGTGGGAGAGGATGATGATGATGAACAGGAGGAGGATGAGGAGGAGGAGGATGAGGAGGAGGAGGCAGGAGGCGTGGGAGGAGGTGGGGAGGGGGGGAGGAGGAGAGGGAGGAGGGAAAGGATGACGAGCTGGGAGAGGAGGAGGGGGATGGGGGATGAGAGGGAGGAGGCAGAGGCGGAGGAGGAGGAGGAAGAGGAGGAGGAGGAGGACGAGGACGACGAGGGGGAGGAGGAGGAGGAGGAGGAGGAGGAGAGGGAGCAGCAGCAGCAGCAGCCGCAGGAGGAGGAGGAGGAGGAGCTCCACCTCCCCATCCTCCTCACCCGTCTCTCCTCTCCCCGCTCCTCCTCCTGCACCTCCTCCTCCTCCGCCTCCAGCTTCTCCACCTCCCCCTCCTCTCTCACCCCCTCCCCTCCCAACCCTCCCCACTTTCCTCTCGTCCCGCTCTCCTCCTCCCCTCCTCCCGCCCCCCTCCACCGTCCCCCCGCCCCGCAGGTGAAGGAGGCCGAGGTCAAGCTCTCGTCCGTCGCGGTGCACATGCAACCGAACCTCGTGGAGCTCCCGCGCCCGTCGTCGTTTCGTCAGGCCCCTGGGTCCACCCACCGAACCCTCGTCGCCGCTACATCGGGCGCATGCTCGGACGAATGGCCAGGCGGATCCTCTTCCTGCTCCTGCTCCTGCTCCTGCTCCTGCTCCTCCTTGTCGTCCTCCTCCACGTCCTCCTCCTCCTCCTCCTCGCCCTCCTCCTCCTCCCCTGCCTCCCCTCCTCGTCCTCCTTCTCCCTTTCTCCCCCTCCCCCCCTCCTCCTCCCCCTTCTCCCGCCTCAGCGCCACGGAAGCGGTCAGCGCAAGGGTCCCCGAGGGACCCTGTGCACGCGCCTGCAAAGCAGCGCGATGTGTTGTTTTGTCGCCCCCCCCTGGAGGAACACAGCAAGGACATCCTTGCCAGCGACCGCATCTGCCGCGTGCGGACCGCATTGCACCGTGCCTACTCGAGCCATCGGTCGTCTGCGAAGGTGAATGTGTATTGGCAAGCGGGCGCCGCCAAGGCCAGCAAAGTGGAATCCCTCGCCGACTTCGCCGTCGGAGAGTTGATATTGGTCCCCCTGAGCCCGTCGATGGGGCAGAACGCTGAGGTCCCAGCCAACGCCGTTGAGATACCAGAGTCTTCGTTCGTGGACCCTTCGTCGGGCAAGGACAGCAAGATGTACATCGCGCCGAAGGTGGAGTTCCCGTCCGACAAGTCCGTCGGTTTTGTGGTGCCGTACTGGTGTGTTGGCACTGCCGCTCCTGGCGACGCCGTGAACATGGTCGCTGGCGTCTTGAAGGTTGACCTGGCCTACAAAGACACCCTGGTGTCCGTTGGTGGCTCCCGCACGTCGAGTGCGCACGTCAGTTTGCCAGTGCTGTACAACTCCGCGCCGCTCAAGGTCGGCGCGGCGCTCTTGAAGTCTTCGTCGCCTGTTTCGCCCCCCGAGACTGTCATCGCGGCTCGCCCGAAGAAGAAGCTTCGGAGCTAGATTGGCGCATGGTCGCAATGTTCAATTCAGCAGCGTAAGACGTGCTTTTTGTGCGACGCTGCGCGCAGACCGCGTGCGAGATCAGGCGTCGCACGCGGGATTTCCCCGCATAGATGCACATGACAACTAACATCGTCATCATCATCATCGTCACCATCATCACCATCGTCACCATCATCCCAGCCGTCACCATGATCGTCACCATCATCGTCCTCCCTCGTTCTTCCATGCAGCCACCCATCACGCTCGCCCCTGCAGTCATCCCTCGACTGCTTGCTGCAGCCACGGCGGATTGCGTCGCAAGACATCTGCGATCCACCCACCCCCGAGCTGCCCGTCGGCGCCTCTCGCCCCGATGGGGGTCTTGCAGCCCGAAGACGCTTCTCAGGCGCGTGAGGAGGGCGTAGGAGGAGGAGGAGGAGGAGGAGGAGGAGGAGGAGGAGGAGGAGGTGGTGGTGGAGGTGGGGTGGAGTGAGGCCTCGAGGCGGAGGAGGAGAGGGGGGAGGATGGGGATGAACGGGGAGAGGATTAGGGATTCGAGGGATCGACGGGACGTCTTGCCATCAGGAGAGGGGAGTGGATGAGGTGGAGGGCGCGGAGGAGGGGGGAGGAGGAGGAGGAGGAGGAGGAGGGAGGAGGAGGAGGATGAGAGGAGGAGGAGGAGGAGGAGGGAGGAGGGGAGGAGGAGGAGGAGAAAAGGGTTGCTGAGCAGGAGGAGGAGATGATCGGGGAGGCGGGACATGCGAGGACGGGATGAAGGACGAGGGTGGTCAAGGGGATGATGCGGAGGAGGATGGGGAGGAGGAGGAGGAGGAGGAGGAGGAGGAGGAGGAGGAGGAGGAGGAGGAGGAGGAGGATGGGGAGGAGGAGGAGGAGGAGGAGGAGGAGGAGAGATGGATTGAGGGAGGAGAGTAGGATGGGGGCGCCTCAACGACGAAGACGGCGATGATGACGACGACGACGATCGGCCTGGGCCAACCCTAAGGCGGAGAACGACGACGACGCCGCCGCCGACGACGACGCTATCATACTTTCATCTTCCAGACCAAAGCTTCATTATTCTGGAAGATGATAGTATGATGGGATCCGTGGGCCCAAAGGGCACTCGCTGCGACGACGATGAACGACGACCGCGACGGCAGCAACAGCAGCAGCGGCGGCGGCCCAGAAACGGTCACGCTCGAGACTGGCCTTCACTGAGCGTGGTTTGGCAAGGGAGGGGCTGGGAGGGGTGGCGGAGGAAGGGGGGGGAGACTATTAGGAGGAAGCTGCCAATCGAAACCGCCCATGTGACCGCCCCAAGACACGCACTGCGAACCGCCCCGCGAAACGCAGCGCGACCGCGTCCCACGAACGCACCCCGCCGCGCGACGCACCCCGCGAGACAACCCTCCACAATGCACGCCATGAAGCGCACCGCGACACGCTCTGCAAACGTCCCCACGAAACGACGCCCCACGAAAAGGATACGGGGGAGACGGGGGAGGATGGCGAGGAGTACGCGGGCGATGACGGGAAGGAGGAGGAGAATGAGAAAGGGGCGATGAGGAGAAGGGGGAGGGTGAGGGGGAGGCGGAGCAGCAGGGGGGTGAGGAGGAGGAGGTGGATGGGGGAGGGGGGGGAGTGGGGGCGGAGGATGAGGAGGGGGAGAGGGCGTGGGCGGGGGGGGGGAGGTGGACGGCCGCGGCCGTCCCCCCCCCATCCTCCGTCGCCTGCTCTTCCTACTCCTTCCCCTGCAGGCAGCTGCCGCCGAGCTCAGTCAATGGTTGACCGAAGCCGAAAACGAATTGGCGATTGCGATCCCCGAACGGGACCGTGCTCTGAAGGAGGCCGATAAGAGGACAGCCATCGCAGAGAGAGTGACGCACCAGAGAGACATGTTTTGCGCCTTGTTCCGAGACGACGAGATCCTGAGGGTGAGGGCGAGGGCCGAAAAGAAACAACTCACGGCTGAACTGAAACAAACACAATGGAGGCAAACAACGCTGGCAAGCCACAGGATCCCTACCAGAAGAGCTACAAGAAACACACGGACAAAACGGAGGACAATCGCGACGATCGTAGGGAGGACAGCGTCTATGAGTCAGGCAAGGGGGAGGAAGGAGGGCAGGACGCAGACTAAGGGCAAGAAGAAGAGCACGAGCAAGGCAGCATCGCCCAAACCATCGGCCTCGCGAGGCCGCCCCATCACGCCGCCGTCTAAGCCGAGCACGTCAACGCCCCACTAGGAAATATACAGGCCCCGTCCGTCCACCGCCCCGTATGATTGCCGCCGAGTTTGGCTAGTTGCGACCGACGGCACGCTTTAGAAGGGGAGCGAGGGGTCAGAGCGAGCACACTCTGCATCGCCATCGTCATCGCCATCGTCATCACCATGGCCATCACCACCACCACCGCCGCCACCATCATCATACGTGTCACCGTTGGCGAACGCCCTTTGCACATATCGTGCATGTCGTTGCCGTCAGCAAGTGCTCACTTCAAACGATCGTGTCATGCTGATGCTATGTTGGCAAGCTGTGCTCTCTTGAAGCCGTGGGGCCACATCGGCGTCATTCTGGAAGCCGATTCCTTGTTCGAGCTGTCGGATCGCAGCGGTGCCCTTCTCACGACCGACGCTCGAAACAGCGTCCGTCCGTAGCCATATCCAGAGCCATTTTGGCACCATAGCTTTGAAGCATCGCCCAGCCCTCTTCCTGATTTGTTCGCGGTCGGTGGCATGCCTGTCATCGAAGAGGGCTTCGCTTGCATCTCCAAGAACGCAGCCTGCACGTCGCCGTGGGTAGCCAAGGTCGTAGAGGTCCAGGGCCACAAGTTCGTCGAGACGAACAAGGGCGATACCAAGTTCATGAAGCTCATCGGGGGGGACTTGGCCATGGTCGCTGAATTGACCAAGCTGCGCAATGAGGCGACTGACCGTCTCATGAAGGAGCTCAACGTTGAGTCTGACCCGATGCAAGACCAGGTGCAACCGCCCGCTGCCAACGGTGCTCCGCGGAGGCCGCGGCGTGAGTTGATTGACGAGGTGGCCGACACTGTCGTCGTCACCGTGTCCGACGCCGACGGGGTCGCACACGCCGCGCGCGTTGTCCCCACGGCGAACAAGCGCGCCAGGCTCTCAATCCAGCTGACCGAGGAGAACATCGAGCTCCTGGCGAAGGGCCCATTGCTGTCGGCGCCGACCGCCGACTGCGTTCCCACGATGCCCGCTGAATGCCCCGACGTCAGGTGGATGAAGTATCGCCACGCTGTGGCGGTCGATTGGTGGGACAAGGAGACGCAGAAGTGGCGCATGAAGAGCATGATTGTTCGCAGGGGCGCGAACCTCCAGGAGCGCGTCGACAGGATGAGCCACGTCTTGCAAGAATTCATGACCCAACATCACAGCGACCCAGACGGCGAGGCTCATGAGTCGGGCGATGATGCCGACAGTCGGTGATTGACGATCGCCGCGGCTGTGCTGGATATCGGCATGCATGGCGCGCCCGCGGCGATGCACGTCGCGGCGCGCAGCGCGGCGATTGGCAGCGTTGCACTAGTGGGGGCTTCGGTGTCAGCGCTGGCTCTTTTGGGGGGGCCGTGCAGAGGTAGCGCCCTGCAGGTGGGGCATGGGGTTGATCCATAGCATTGGCAGGGGCGTCGTTGTGCACCAAGTGTTGTCTGGCATGGCCACTGCCACGCACCGAGCTGAAACAAAAACATCGCCATCGTCACGTCATCACACCATCAATGGGGGGATGAGGGGGATGAGGGGGCAGGGGGAGGAGGAGGGAGATCAAGGATGAGGACGAGGAGAAGGATGAGGAGGAGGAGGAGGAGGAGGAGGAGGAGGAGGAGGGAGAGGAGGGATGGAGGAGGGAGAGGGAGGCGATGGAGGATGATGGGGAGGAGGGCGGCGGGCGATACAAGGTAACGCAACCTTCGACACGGAGTCCTGGGCCCCTGGACCGCGCGACGTGGTGGCCCTCAAAGGGCTGCGTTGTGGAAGGGGAGAGCGGGGGAGAATCGGCCATCACGCTTAACGCGCACCCACCCTCGATTACGCTTGGGGTCTTTGCGAGGAGCTCTCAACGTTGCGACATCGGTCTGTGATGCTAGCGATGTCAGTGCAAACGGAATGTGATAGGCGCGTGGGACGCTGGATATTACACAGTCTCATTGTTTGACCAGGTGTTCGAACATCGTATACGGTGTTCGACCCAGGTGTTCGAACCTTGCCCTGGAGGTTCGAACATTTTAGGTCGAGTACTGTATACGAGGTTCGCGCGCATGTGCGAAACGCAATTCGTTAACATCAGACCCCCTGGGCTCCAACTTGAGGTTTCAGGTTCGCGCATGTGTTCGAGTCTGGCATGTAGGGTTCGACGAAAATGTTCGAACCTCCAGGGGAAGGTTCGAACACCTGGGTCGAACACCCCAGGCGAGGTTCGCACACGTCTCTCCCGTAAGGCCTGACAGCTCCAAGGGTGACGATCGAGGGTTAGCAGCGGTCGCAAGCAGCGTGCGTCTACGCCACCACTCTGCGAAGAGCTGTTCCCGTGGCCCTCCCTTCCGCCACGACGCCCTCCAACCAAACCCCTCGCATGCCGTCTCGCCTCCACTGCCTGCCCCACCTCCTCCTCCTCCTCGCCGCCAACACCGCCTCCACATTCGTTTTTTTTGCGCCGCAACCATTTCGGGCTCAAGCCGTTCAAGCCTTGCCTCAGCGTCGACGCTGGGCCCATCAGACCGCCCGCTCACCAGATATGGCGACGGCTGACTCGCTGATCCAATCCATCCAGGCTCGGGTGTCGTTCGTGAACGCCCAAGTGACAGCTGGCTTGCCGCTGGACCAGCTGCTGGCCAACCAGACGAACCAGCTGCTGCTCATGTTCGCGCAGACTCACAACCTCACTATGGCTGACGCTACCAGGGTCACCCAGGCCATCACCCAGGGGCCCTGGACCGCCGAGCAGAAGGTCAACTTGGCGGGGTCCCTCAGCAACGCTGCAGCGTCGGTG